TTTTCGAATATATGTGAGGATTTTCTACGGTAGATTATGTTAATTTATTTTATTTTTTTCGTATCGCTTAAGTAAATAATGATAGAACCAAGTTCGTTAATAATACCGGGAAAAAGGCAATCGTGGACCTCTGCAGTGATTCGTAATTGGCGCTAGTTATAGCAGACAGATTTTTTTTTAAATTCAGGATATTCAAAAGACTGGTTTTCAAATAAGTATTAAATCAACTGGTATGCAATTTTGTATCTTATATATATAATTCGATTCGGTCTCTATTGACTGCTTGTAATTTTTTTGGTTACCTTCAACAGTGGCATTTCTGTCATTTAGCGGGAGGGGTGAGGTTCTTTAAGAAATCTAAACTATTCTAACCAAGTTGGGAAGGTCGAGATTAATTCAGTGGGGTTACAGTACCGTCCCCTGTAACTCTGCTAGACCGGATTTTTGCTAGACCTGCGCCGATAGGCACGAGTATGTTAAAGCGAGCAATGCTTCTACACACTCTGCCATCACGAATTGTCTGAACTCAAATCCATGTGACTTTTTTTTTTATTGTTCCCCCCTTCTTTGCCTTTAAGGCTATACGGGGTTTTTCCGGGCCAGGATGTGGGCGGGGATTTAAGAGACTCCCCCGGCACCGGGACGCGAACTCGTGACTATTTTTTAATCAATCTTTCTGATTGTCGGGCAACGGTGGTGTTGTGCACACGCGTTAGTCCATTCGGTCACCCACTAAAGGCTCGGATCTGAAGATCTGGATTTTCTAAAGAATAGATCGTAAAAATAAGTTTTGGGATGTAAAAAAGATCTCAAGTCAATTATCAAAAATATTATATATATACAATATCATTTGTTCAGTTTTAACGTGGACATTTAAAAAAATAATTAAAAAAAATAATTGAAGAAATTAACAATACACCCCCTAGGTAGCGGGTTTTCATAACAACCCGCCACAGCTTCTTTGCATTCTGATTGGCCATACCAAACAGAGGTGGACTCCGCGCCTTACTGTCCGCGTAGATTATCCGCTTTCTGTTTGATTAAGCCTTAAAGGATTTCTATTTTATTTTAACATGTATTCAATGTCGTCCTTCTGTCCACGCCATATCCAAGTCTACCATATGCGTCTGAGGAGTTTGGGTCTGCATAAAATAAAGATGAATTTCTTCGAATGCTGAATGTTCTCGGATGCTAAATAGTTTATCTGATTCGCCATTTTCAGCTAATAAAAATGTTGATCGAGTAAGTTATGTAAGTGATTTTATTAGCTTAATGAAGCCTTAGAAATTATTTGATATTTTGTGTCGTCAGAATAGGTAGTAGTCGATGTATCAATGTTATTTAAATTTCAAAACGCAATGTAATACTAATTAGTTAACCTTCTAGTCAGTTTTACTAAATTTTTTATCCTATAATTGCTATTTGTAGCAAATAATATCGTAGAACCGAACGAATCAATATTGTTTACTGTATTAATACTTCTTGCATAACATTACAAGTTGCAGCATTGAAAAACACTTATGGTGCAATTAATCATGATATATTGCGCTATTAAGAGATAATAGGTGACCTTTTTATTGCTTTCATTTTAATAGCCTGTTCAAGATAGGCGACTTGACTAACGAACGTCTGCCGCAGTTCTTTCATGGGCTTAATTGATTATCATCCCAACACGAATGCGTCAGTATATATTTCAAAAGTTTCAGAAGATATGATGAGTAACGAGATTCTCATTCAAATTAAAAAAGGAATATATTTAAAATTAAATAATTACGAGTGATATTTTGGGTACTTGTTAAATAGCCGGTCGGTTCAAAACCTCCCTTGTTACCTAATCTTATATCACATAACCTCCCTTCTTATCTCGTCTAACCTAAGTTATTCCATTGTTTATTTTTTGTTCCTCGTGTAAGCTGTGAGCTAGTATCATTTTCGTAAAATTATGGATGTTGTTACATTGTTCGAATTGCCGTCTTCAGACTAGAGGCTATCGAATATTTTCAAGGGATAATTGCAAAGGTGAAATATTGTGATGAAGGTCATGAAATGAAGTTGGATGGGAAGACGAAATGGGAAGACGAAAGCTTTCGTACTTGTAATAAAAACTTTTCTATAAGAAAAGGAACGTGGTTAGAGGGGTCGAGGATTTCTGTTTTAACGGCTGGTCCCATATATTGTTTATTTTATATTTACATATGTTCTTTATAGTGTTTCTTTTAGATGTACAAATGTTCTTTAAGTGTTTTTTTTTTTTATTTATTTTTGTCTATCTTTTCCCTATTTTTAAGATTTCAATATTTAATACAATAAATATGAATACGAAGATATAATAATATGAATATAATACAATAAATATAAATACCAAGATATTATCAGTGTTTTATCAGAATTATCAGTGTTAAAATTATAAACATTGGCTGATAGCAGTCAGACCCGACCGACTATTTAACGAGTACCATGTTTTGTTTTAGCAATATAATTTTTTTCTGGTCTGGATTGTTTTTATTTTTAATTCGTGAAGTATACTTCAATTCACAAATCAGCATCCGAATAGAATCAGCATTCGATACTTACCGAAACGCAAACCCGCAAGATTAGCCTTAACGCAATCTTCTCATTTCTTCTTCTCAGTTATTTTGAATTAATGGTCTAGAAAACATGTTGCGAACATATTTTTCTATTAAAGAAAAAAAAGAGAACTGAAGATTCTCATGAGTTCCAGTTTTTATTTTTTGTTTGTATTTTCTCTAATTGATGATTATAATGTACCGAAAGGATCTAGTACATAAAAGTAATGATGAAAGTAATTAGCACGTTTCTTTTTCCTCTAGTTTTTCTGTGGTGGAAGACTCAAATCCTTTATTATACTTTAAGTAAAAATACATACAATTACTTCGAACTCGGGCCATTAACAATGTACATTTAAATGTTACTATTATTATTGAATGTTAATATACATTAACAAATTTAAAAAAATAAATAAAAAATTTCCAGTTACCCCGTTGAAAATTTTTCTCCTGTGTACTGAATTTTTTCTCATACCCTCAGGAAAGCGTTATAACGAAGATTTACTGTAACTGGAAGAGAAATCCGATGTATTCTGGATGATTTTCTGTTGCTGGAAGAGAGGTACACCAGGCTAGGGTTGAAATATCGTGTCCAATTATTTTCTCAGAACTGTTTGTTCCTTGCGTAGTAAACATGGAGGCATGTTAAGTATATATAACGATACGAATGTACAAGGACAGCCTATTAAGTAAAAAAATTACGTCGTCAGCGTAATTGGATAATAAAGGTGTTCAGAATGTTGGATCTTCCAGCTTTGTTCAGTTTATTGAACAAAACACCATAATTTACCATTATGATAAAAATATATTTTAACACTTGGTATTATTGCTTTATATCCACAGGATTCTATGAGTGATGTAATTAAATTATAATATAATATAATTATCAAAGGTAATTAATAATAATCAAATTAATTATTGGCTATAATAACTTAATATCAGAAAGAAATATTAGACGCATTCTTGTTTATGAATATATATATATCCGAAAACTTGCTTTTAAAACATATATGGAATCGGTCATGTTAACCGATTGAAAGAATTTGTATGAACACTAATGGAAAAACGTAAATCAAATAATTAAGTAATTGTTAATGGTTGAGTATTTTTTTACGTCCAATATTTCTATACATACTGGTAGAAAAAGGTCCTTTTTACAACGCCAAAGAGGGGTTTTATTATTTTTCCTCCATCTAAACATTTTTGGTAATACTTGTAGGTATGAATATATTATATATATATATATATATATATATATATATATATATATATATATTTTATAAGTGCGATTGCCAATTAAAACTTCATTGTAATTTTTCTATAATTTTACATATTCTGAGACAACATAAATATTGACCAAAAATTTCCTACAAATGAGAAATGGGATTTTAGTGATTTATTTTTTAAACCAGAAAAAAATATGCGTGAAAATAAAAAAGTATTAAGGAGGGAAACATAATAGAACAAAGATATATACATATATATATATATATATATATATATATATATATATATATATATATATATATACATACAAGAGTGATCATAAAAACCAGCGCACTTTAAATTTTTTCGGTATTTCTGTCACATCTGAAAAAAAAATTGCAAATGTTTATTGCCTTAATGATAATCCCATGGCATATAATGTTTCTAGGTAACCACAAATAAAGGAAAAAATATATATTTAAATTATCTTTAATATAAATAAAGCAAACGGACAATCGTTTAAACAAAAATAAAACGTATCTAAGATTGTTTTTCATTATGAAAGCAGTTTTTAATACTTAGTGTTGCCTCCTCTTGCCTGTATTCTTAAAAAGGTACTTGTAGGTTTCTTACATGGAATGAACGTCTCAAGCTGTTCTCAAAGATGCTTAATAGGGTTGAAGTCCGGGTTACGTGGTGGTCACTTCAAGCTAGACAGTAACTTCGTCTTGGTCTTTTTCGATTTTTTATGTGCTGCCAAGAATTATTCTGAATAAACAGGTAATAGTGGACGATAAACGAGCCAAAAAGTACCACATATTCCTCGAGGGTGTCGATGATGTACGTGTCTGCATTGAGCGTAGCCCTTCGGAACACATGGAGGTTGTACTTGATTCTAAACATATTCCACCTCAAACCATCACCGGCTCTCCTTCGAAATACACTCTTCCCGCTATATTTCAATAAACTTACTGCTTAATTGGTCTTATCCACACTTCAATTATTCCGTCTGCTCCATAAAGGCTATACCTGGACTCGTCCGAATACATAACAGAGACCAAATCATCTTCTGTCCAGGCCGCTTATTCACGACAAAACTGTAGGCGAGGATCAATTAATGGCAATCCCTATTTACCAATCATATATCTGTTATTACATCTCAAAAATATTTCTTCAATCTGCGGTTTTGATGTAAAATTCAAAAATCCTTTTTGATGACTACAGGTTTATATATATATATATATATATACATACAAGAGAGTTTCAAAAGCTTTTTTGCCTCCCCAATATAGTACAATGTATATCTGATAATATCTTTTTTCAGACATAGTTCATAATACGTCTAGTATACAGACTTAAGACTATATAAAATTTAAATTAATCTAAAAACTCATAGCGAAACCATGGTCGCTAACAATGTTCATAAAATCTGAGAGCATTGGGCAGAAGAGGGCGGCCGTTGAACACGTGGACCAGTTGGCTCATGATATTGGCGGTTGGCCTTGGTGACGTCAGCGGGCACCTTAGCCTTCCTCCTCCATCGGTCAGGGCGATGCGATATTTCATCTGAGTGTTGTCACTGCTTCCAGCCACCAAGCCTTTGAAATTGCCTTAGCATACAAAGTAAATGAATTAAAAAAAAAAATCCTATTCCATCACATCCACATTAGAAATATACACTATTTCCTTAATTATCATGGATAACTAAATATATGGTGAGTTACCAGATAGAGATGATTTAGATGATGAATTTAGAAGTAGCAGACAAAGCGTAGAGAAAAAATAGGAGGGAAGTCCTCATTCAGGGTGTAATTTAACTTATAAAATAATTACTAAGCTAGAAAACAACTGTCCTTCCAATCGCTTGTTGGCCGTAGATGCAATTTAAGGTGAAGTTGGTCAGGTGGTTAAATGATATTTTTTTTCGTTAGCTTGTTTGCGGTTTAACGTCCTTACGTAACCTGTAATTATATTCCTTATAGAACACGTACTTGATCTTGTTATGTAACAAAAAGGGTTGGAAGGACGGCTTAACATCCAACTGGTCACAGATCTAGAGTTTTGAGTCACAGATTGAGAGTTTTTAATCTGAGAGAAGATGGAAAACAAATTTGTGGATCCTCTACGAAATTTCAACTCGCCCAAATGGTATTTTAACAGACTTCCTTCTAATTCGGGAATGCAAAAGCATGTCTTAACAATCTCGACCACCATGGCCTCAACGTTAACTCCTACTTATCCATTCTTTTCAATGCCTGTTATCTCACTTGATCAGAAAGTACGATGAGATATCATACTTCTATTGCAATACATCTATAATAAATTATTTCGATGAATATTTGGCTATAAATGGATCATAGATATAAAAATGGCTCTAATTTTTCTTTTACCGCAATATTCTAAAAAATATTAAGCTTGGTAAAGTAAGTAGCATAGCGGGGACATTGTACAAATTATGGAAATTTGTCACACATTTTAAAACTAAGATCGAAAATGCAGCACAATGGTGTACATAAGGAAATCGGATAAAAATCTTTTCACCATCTATTCAATGACAATCAAATTTTAGAAATTACTCATATGAATATAAATTTGACTGGAGCAGTTTCCAAGACAAAACCTAAACTAAAGCGGCGAAGATTCGTGTATGGTCAACCACCAGAGAGCCCATTACGCAAGCGCTAACATTGTGAATCGATCCAGGAGGGAATTTCTGTTAAAAGGGGTAACAATTTTTTCGTTAGAGTACTACCCTGCTACTATCCTTTTACAACTACTTCATAGTTATTATAGAAAGAACGCAAAATAACAGCTGTATACTATTCACAAACCAACTGATTAATAATAGCTAAAATATATCGATGTTTTGTAAATAAGAACTCAACAACCAACAGCTTTGAAGGAGACTGTTTTTTACTTTTTTAGAAAAACAAGTTGTTCTCCTTATCTTTACATGGGGAGGTTCAAATTCGCAAGTTAAACTGTGTACTTTTCGCCAGCTATTGAACCCAAAAATATCCAATTTGTTAAATTCGCTCTTTTTACATAACACCGAAGAAACAATTTTTAATTTGTATTTGTATTGTATTGTCAATTCTATAGTTGTTACACTTCTTTTTTTACTCATTTAAAAATTATAATACTCAAAAACCTTGCGAATTTTAGATAATGATTGTGCCAGCACATCGGCAAAATAAAATATTCTAATCGTTGAAAGAGTTAAAGTCATTGAAACTACTGCTAGGCAAAAGTTTTTTAACTGTCAAAGCAACAAAATTTATAAGCTCTTGAGTTATAAGCAAGTAAACAAAATCACTTTTTCAACAAATCATACCCAAGAGGAATTCCAAACAGATGCGAAAATGGCTCAAAATAATTAGTGTATAAGTTTAATAATAATAAAATGGTGATTGAAGAAAGTTAGTCGAATCTTCTGTATGTCATAGATGATAAATAGTCAGGACACAGTCATTTTTAAGGTGTTAATTATTGCCAACGTTCCAAACATGTTGGACATCATTAGGTCGTGTTTCGAGCACTGAAGGTATTCAATTACTAGGTCAGTAATAAAAATGACTACTTCCTGATTATTTATGTCTTATAAAAAAGGGTGAGAAAATTAAATTTAAATTAAAAAGGAAGATTTGAATAAGGCTGAACTGGTGGGATTAGATTTTGATTTGTCTCCCTGCTTCTTGATATACTACGTTCATAAAAAGATGAAAACCTCTCTAGGCGAAAAAAATAGACATGTTTCATTAAAATAGTTCGAACAGTTTTTCCGTTATAGAAAAACAAAAAACTGAACCTATGAAGGGTCTGGAGTCCAGTACTTTGTGAGGAAGTAATGTTTCTTGGTCAACGGTTGTACAAGGAGGTTATTTGGCCGAGATCACGCTCAACCACCCTGGTGGAAAACCTGTTTCCTCTTTAATTAATTATTTAATTAAGTGTACACATTTTAAAGAGGCTGGGTGGGTCTCAGCAGGGACTCCCGACCGGGTCGATTCACGGCCAAAGAAACAGAATAAATAATTTATCTGCTATAGGCGGATTCGAACCTGGGGTTTTGCCGCTAAAATCTATAAAAAATCATTTTGCCTATTGCGCTGCCTCTATGACCCAAAGTGGGTTCTATTTAGTTTAAAGGGAAAAAATAACAATAAAACCGACTGTATTGACCGAAAATGTTTTGTTTTTTTGTCATCGGGAAGCTATGAAAAATATATACATCTATTCGGACATGTAAAATTTGCTTAGATCACAATACTTTCCTTAGTATTACTTATGATTAAAAAAAAAAATTTTAGTCCAATAATTGGAATCACTTTTTATTTATTTTCCTTTGTAACTACGAAGGTAACTTTACTTTAGATGTTTAATTGTTTGGAAATAATAAACCATTGTGAAATAATACTTTTTTTTTTAACATTAATCTTATCATGAAACCTGATAAAAACTCGTTTTGTGTAGAATCGGAGGAAGAGGCTACATTTTCAGAAGTAAGCGAAACACATTCGCAATTCTTGAAAAGAAGAATGCTACAAAAGTGCCAACGAAACTCTGCCGGGTTGGTGGGTAACTCACCAAATATGAAAAAAAAAATAAGTCGGCTAAATCAAAAAAATCACTGGAATGCAAGCAGTCGACGGTCAAAACATGCAGTGAATCTATTACAGCTGTAAAACCAGAGTGAAACCCATTATCTAAGTCAATCAGTAACCCTGTTACAACCAGCAAAACATCGAATTGGACTTTGGAGCCAAAAGAATTCATTAAAACTAGAACCACCATTATTTTCGTTATATAAATAGATAATTTTATGTCCTTCCGATGGAAATTTCAGGTTTCATAGGTCAGCCAATGTTTCGTTGCTGCTCCAGAGTTAATGATGTAAAAATTAATACAATCTCTAAAGAGAATTACTAAAATATCATTAATCATTTATCATCTAGAAACTATGATTTCCACTGTTGCCAGCTCAAAGAAGAAAAAGCATACAGAGTGGTCTTAAATGGTTTACATCCAACTACAAGAGACAAATATCCACTGCCGTTATTCTTTGTTGACTTGGAACCAGACAAAAACAATATTGAAATATTTGAAGTAACAAGACTTGTATACGCAACAGCACTGTCTTAGGAGCTTATGCAAAAACTCATAATAGTGCAATGTACTAAATTCTAAACCTTGGGACACACAATGACATACTGCCATCATAAGGCCAAATGCGTAAAATGTACTCGCACACCCGTCTAACACATACCAGAAACTAAGGCAAGAGCCTGCTACATGTGCTCTTTGTGGCGAAGCTCACCCTGCAAGCTACAGAGGCTGTGAAGTCTACCAAAATCACCTCAAGCAGAGATCGTATAACTTAGCGATTAAAAGCCGTGGACCAGATCAGAAAACTACACTGAGGTTCCTGAAATTGAAAATCAGGAACTCTTTCCAGAATTGCCAAAATCATCAAGCAACTCAGCAAACAACCTCTCTCTATCTTCTCATCTCTAAAGGATCCCAATAATTTTCAGCTCCAATCTACTATGATGACGCAGCAGCCTCAATGTCAAACGTCTCAGGCCTAACAATCCAAGCCAAAACCTCTAATTCTAAGTCTCAACCTCCACGTTTGCGAATTCCCCCTCACCATCTACCCTTAAGGGTCAAACTTCCACCCGCTCCTGATCTCTAGATAATCCTCTCATTACAAGTTCCACATAATTTAGATCCAGCCCTTCGAATCCCACGTCGGTTACATCCTCTCGTAAAAAATCATAGTTGCACAAATTATCCATATCAACTTCCTGATCTAATTCCTCTTCACAGCGACAAACCAACCGACATCAATTCGATCCTGTCAACTTTTCTGTTGTCTTGAAGATACCATCAAACCGCTGATTACACTCTTTACCAGACTTCTTTCAGAAATCCGGTTTAACCTTCCGAGACAAAACCCCTAGCTATGGTCTTGTGAAATACGAATGAACTACTCAACCACCGTTACGAACTAGACATATTTCTACATGACAATAACATTGCTACTGCCCTCCTGACGGAAACTCACTCAATGGTCAAACTTTTACATTTGTGACTACATCACTTACAGATCAGACCACCCAGACAAAACTTCCTACGCTTAATCTTGCATGCTTATCCATAAATCCTTACCTCATTCCCTAATTCCTTCCACTCCAACTTAAGCCATTAAATCAACTTCGGTAATCCTTTCAACTCGTCCCTTCCATCTCCTTTTCAGCTCTCTCAACTGTATACTGCCCTCCTGGCTATTGCCTCTCGTTTAACCTTTTAGATTCATTATTTCAAACCCTCGACTAGAATATAATACTAAACACCAATGATGGAGTGGTCGTACATCCAATCGAACACCCTACCTCATGTCTCATCTTCCAATAGTTGTTCTATCCTCTCGCCCATGGATCCTACATATTGGCCAACATTTCTTAAAAAATGTTTTGATATCCTAGATATATTTATCACCTCTCAGATTTCCTCTTCCCAGAGGAACCACAATTAAATCCCTGAATGACCTTTCATCAGATCATAGCCAGCTCTGCCAATTTTACATTCAAATCTCGTTCCTAAGCCCTCACCTCCAAAGTTGATTGCAGTACGAGTAGATTAGGACAAATATCGTTACGATTTAAAAAATAAACTGGACTTAAAAATCCCGCTTAAGACAAAACAAGACATTGACAAAGCCATAGAAAAACTTACGACATCAATAGCAATCAGTATAAATGATAACACATCCATAAATAAAAACAATAATCCACTATATATTAACTTGCCATTACATATTCGAATCTAGCAATATCGAAGTGGCCTAGGACTGGATATATTATAGATACAAATTACTACAATGAATTAACTAACAAACCAAAAAAAGAAATTCAAAACTCAAAAATTACTTAATCTAACTGAAAATCTTACAACTACTGACAAATTTCTATGGACAGCCACAAAAAAGCTTCTTAAGTATAAAGACTTTAATCACCCACTACTAACTGAATCCTAAACCTGGTCCAAATCTGACGAAGAAAAATCCCAAATGTTCGGTCAACACATCAGCAGAGCTAGATATTCCACTCCAAATGACCCTTGCACCTAAAGCAATTCATCCTTCAAAAATATCCAATATCATTCACAGGATACCTTCCCTTAAATCTCCTGGACAGGACCTCATTACTCCCCTGATTTTGAAACTGCTTCGATGGAAAGCTATCTTATTCCTTACCTACATATATATTGCTGTGCTCCGATCCAAATATTTTTCTGATCCATAGAAACTATCTATAGTCAAAATGATACACAAATCCAAAAACAAAAACACCTGAACACACTTCCTCTAATCCATCCTGAAACCTCTGTACTTCATCCTAGATTCTAATCACATTATCCCTGATCACCAATTTGGATTCCACACATCGCATTCTTCTATCCAGCAATGTCATCGTGTGGTAGAATTAATCTCCTCTGCATTGGAGCGTGGACCGTACTGCACTGGAGCCTCTCTCGACGTTGAACAGGCGTTTGATAGAGTCTGGCACCCAGGACTACTTTACAAAATCCGTAATTTCATACCCCCTACATACTTCCTTATTATCCATTCCTACCTTGCTCATAGATACTTCAAAGTCAATCACTATAATGTTTGTTCACCCCTCTTCACTCAGTCTGCTGGCCTTCCTCAAGATAGTATCCTCGTTCCCATCCTCAACACAGTTTATACAGCTGACATCGCATCCAATCCCGACGCTGCCATCACCATGTTCGCCGATGATAAATGTTTGCTATTTATTAATAAGTACCCTTTAATTGCACCCCAAACCCTCCAATCACATATCACAAGCCTTGAAGAATGGTGTCCAAATTGGAGAATAAAAATAAGGCCTATCAAATCACCTTTATCCTCCGTCGTAAACCTATAACTTCTTGCCCTACAGTATGCTTCAAAATACTCCTCTTATTTTCGTTGCACAAATCCGCTACCTAGGACTCCACTTGGTCAAACGTCTTACTTCGAACCCGCATACTGGACTGAAATGACAAGAAACTGCTCGACGTTTCCGACTGCTCCTACACTAACTAGACAAACGCTCTAAACTTTCAATTAGTTACAAAAGACTCATATATATATATATATATATATATATATATATATATATATATATATATATATATATATATATATATATAGATTATATATCTACATATATAGACTATAATAAGGCCTATATTGTCATACGGAGTTGAAATTTGGGGCTCCACTAAACCGTCGTATCCAATCCTTACAATCCAAAATCCTTCGTAAGATTCCTAATGCCCCATATTTTGTTACAAATAAAACCATTCATAAAGACCTTAATGTTCCATACGTCGCTGATTTAGCCCAAGCCAGATATCTATCCTTTCATGATAAACTCCAGTCCCATCCGAATCCTCTTGTTTCCAGCCTTGTTACTTTCTTAATTCCTGATAATCCTCCTTGGTGTCTGAAAAGAATATGGCCTCGTGATCTTCTTAAATACAATTATTTAGGCAGCACTGGGTAGTATTTCGACAAATCTGTTCATGTCATTATTTCTAATTTGTGCATATTACTGGTTGTATTTAATAAACAAGAAATAAAAAATCATAGTTAGTAATAAAAATCATAGTTATTCATTAAAAAAAGTTACTTCTGACCCGAAATGGTGGGTTCTTCATAACCACACAGGTTTCCCTAGCTTTTTTGCATAAATGTAGCCTGTTAATATTTTTTTACAAACGAACATTATTTCAAGAAGATATTTTCCTCATTAATTAATCGACTTATTTATTATCCGTCCAACGTCCACAGGCACTTACGGCCAATCTATGACGGGCATGTTGGGAGATACCCATGCATTCCATTGATAGAGATAACATATCCAATAATATTGATACCATATTTTTATCTTCTACAAATCATCATTGTGATTTATTATATTTTTTTTCAATGTCAATTAAAATATTAATAAAAAAATTTAACTGTATTAGTGATGCCAATTATAAATATTACACATTTATATATATATATGACACGGTACTAGATTAAACTAGATTTATCAAAATTTTGACATGCCAGTATACGGAAACTGGTGCATCATTGAATCTTATACCTCTCTTGGCCTTTCCTCATATCTCGAATCCAACCTACTTTGTTGTAAATCTGGTTACCTTACATTACATGGGCATTTATTTATCCATATTTTAGGACATGGGCAAGCCTTTTGTTACTAACCTCATCAACATTATTCTTAATGATCTTCTTGATTTTATTATCCCCTATTCCCAGATGTTATTGTATTTATTCAAAAATATGTAGACGACTCTTAGTGCTTAATTCAGATATAATACCCGATATCCTATCAATCTTCAATTCCTATCAGCCTCGCATACACTTTGAATGAGAAATGAATAGTTCCCTATCTTCCTCGTCATAAGATACCATAGCAACAGAATAACTACAGATTGGTACAATAAACCAACTTACTCTGCCATATTTTAAATTTCCATTTTTCAACATCTTTATCATAGAAAAAAAAACGATAAGGCGAAACGTATCATGAAATATTTTTTTTATTACTTTTTATTATTTTTTTTATTGAAAGTATAATGATACAATCTGCCACAATCAAGGGCATAAAACAATTAAATTTCCTTTCTAATTCCCATTTTCATGAAACCTATCAAAAACTTTCATCCTATCAAAAAAATCTTTTTAGATAATAACTTCTCTCTGAATTCCATTAACAAACTTATCAAAGGCCCCAGGATTGGGAATGGAGTGTGTGTTTGAAGAGAAGAAATTTGAAAGAGCATGCTGACTTTGTGTGTCAAATATCAGAGGGAGACAGCTTGAATTATAAAGGATTTGTCAAACGCATCAGTTTGATGAGGAGGATAGACACCGGACGTACGGGATCTGTTAGGACGGGATTGAAAACGTATTGAACAATTCATTAGAAGTTTAAGTTTAGCCTCGAGTTCTCCCGAGAATCCATAATACATCATACAGCCATAGTCGAAGTGGAGAAAAACGAGAGATGAAACCAGGAGTTGACGAGTATTAAAGAAGATACCGTAGATGGTTTAACTGTTTCAGGATGGAAATAGTACGACGGGAAATTGTGGGTATTTTTATTTTTATAAGTGCCCTTATATATACAAATTTTAATATCAATCAATCAGAATAAAAACTAAATTTTATTTAACAATTTGATTTTACACTGATGTGATGAATTTTATCAAAATCGTTAGTCGTTTGTGAGAAATTAGCAAAAATGTGTTTAGTCCATTATATAAAGTGCCACTTCTGGTTAGCCGATTTTGACGAAAAAGTTGCTGTAACATCCCTAGTATATAAAAATCTTAAATATGCAATTTCGCTTTCATACACAATACTTAACATACAAACAAACAGACCATTTTGCGGGACTAGGTTATTTGGACTCAGGGGACCTCAAAACGTGTATTTATGTTGAAAACTGAGATTTGAAAATTTTTACGATAGTAAAAATACAAAAGGTATCAAAATAATTGATGTTAGCATAAAGCAACAGTATTAGAGAAATGTTAAATGAAATAAAATTAAAATATTACATAAGTTTTAGATGAGTGTTAACAATTTGATAAAAAGGAGTCATATGGCCTGTGAATAACAAATCCATTTACTACATAAATACTGACATTCGGAACCCCACCGGACTCTGTACATTACCCATGCTATTTTAGTTACCCTCACGGAGGGTCTCACTTACCTGCTATCGAAGGCAAGTGGTGCATGAAACCATTATCAGAAATAAACGGCGGATGGTGAGCGAAGCCGAGGTTGCGGAAGGCTTAAGCCCACGCATGTCCTACCAACGGTACCCCTAACGGTAACACGAGAGCTCTCCATATCCGGGGTACTTAATCTGCCATACCAAGATTATTTCTTAACATTGAAATAAAGAGAATATTTGTACTCTTTTCATGGAGGAAGGAATTCCTCTCTCCTTACTTCCAAGGATTTTAACCACACTGAGATCAAATTTTTTATGAATAAACTGAAAGTCCCCTGGATACGATCTTCTCACTTCTCGGATCCTTCAACAACTTCCTAAAAAAAGCTATTATATTCCTTGCCTACATGTACAATTGTATCCTTCATACAATCGACTTTTTTTTTTTTTTTATTGAAAGAATAATGATACAATCTGCCACAATGTCCTCTCCTTCCTTACCTTTAAGGCTATACGGGGTTTCCCCTGGCCAGGGAGTGAGGGCGGGATTTAAAAGACTCCCACGGCACCGGGACACGAACTCGTGACTGTTTTATCCAGTAATCTCATACATCAGGTTGCCGGGCAACGGCGGTGCTGTGCTCACACGTTAGCCCATTCGGCCACCCCGCCCATTTCCTCTGATATGGAAACAATCCATAATCAACCTTTTCCATAAACCCAGCAAACTTGTCAATGACTCAGGTCATCTTAAAGAGCAATAAGCTTTCTACCGACCGTTTTAAAAATCTTTGAAAAAATCTTCTCAAATGAATTCTGCCAATACTCGAACCCCATGAAACTTCCTCACATCAGTTTGGTTTTCGATCAGGACACTCTATAGTTCAACAAGGCCTTCGCGTTGTTGATCACATATCCTCTGCACGTTAAAGCAAGCAATATTGCATCAGTGCAAGCTTTCGACCAGATGTGGCACGATGATTTGGTTTTCAAACTCAAAATCCATTTACCTCAATCCTTATATTTAATCCTTAGATCTTACCTTTTCAATCGTTCCTTTCAAGCACGCTGCGGCACAGAATTCTCCAATTATTATCCAATAGAAGCTGGTGTTCCTCAAGGCAGCTTCTTGGGCTCATTTCTGTGTATCCTCTTCACTGCTGACATATCTACAAATCCCAATACCTTCTTGGCAACATTCGCCTTATGTTTTCTTCTTATTTTCTTTTCTTCTTAATTTTTATTTTAATTTGTATATAACGGATGAATGTAAACATAGAGCTATAATATCAATTGTGGCAGATTGTAATGTTATTATTCAAATAAATCTATCATCCTCCTCTCTCTCTCTCTCTCTCTCTCTCTCTCTCTCTCTCTCTCTCTCTCTCTCTCTCTCTCTCTCTCTCTCTCTCTCTCTCTCTCTCTCTCTCTCTCTCTCTCTCTCTCTCTCTCTCTCTCTCTCTCTCTCTCTCTCTCTCTCTCTCTCTCTCTCTCACACACACACACACACACACACACACACACACCTAAAAAAAAAAAAATTGGAATAACTAAAATTCAAGGATTAACCATCCTTTTAGAAATAATTTCTTCATAAGATATTCATTTATTATGAGTAAATTCCCAAATAAAATCAAAAAGTTTGCAGACACTTATAATTGAAGTATTCGATTCAGCTGAACTGTAACTGTTACCATCACAACTACTTTTCGAAACTATTGTAGTAGTAATTGTGAGCTTCAGTTACATAACCAATAGTTGCGAAGTTGTATTCTATCAACAATTATTTATACTAATTTTAATTATTAAATAGAATTCAATACTATGTAATTTCTTTACTATTCTCAAAAATTCCTCGAAGTTTGGGTCACATTGAACACGTAGTTTTCCAACTATAGACTTATCAAATAATAGGTTTACTGATTCGAAAGTAAAAGTATTATTTTTTTAAGAGTAGTGGATAGAATTTGATAAATTCATGCCTACTTTATTATCTGTTTACCAATACCTAACATCCCTCTAAATTTGAGCCAAACAGAACATGCGGTTTTACAGATATAGAAGTATCAAGGAAAACACGTGTGCTCATATATAAGAGAAATTAGTGGACAGAATTCATTAAAATTAATATTACGTTATTTTTTCACCATTACCTACCTTTTATCCAACTTTGAGCCAAAACGAACGAGCCCTTTCTGAAATATTAGCATATCTTATAATTATTATAATTTATTACAAGTATTTTGTTATTATTCATTGTAATAAGTCTTTTGGCCAGATTTATGGTTAATATATATGAACAATACTGTTATTCTAAAGGGACCTAGTCCCAGAATAAAGATGATTTTTCTATTCTATTCTAGTAAAAGTACGTTTTCGCGTGTTGATTTTATCCTTTCCTTCATATAATTTGTCCAATTCTCATAACTTAAATAAACCTCTAAATATTTGAAGTACTCTATCTGCTCGATTTGCTCATTCTCAATCCAACGGTTAGGTACCGTTTTTCGCTGCTTCCTATTCTATTAATTTTCATTTTACTAACGTTTATTTTCATGTTGATTTGTCCAGTAATTTCCTGAAGGAGGAAAAGATTAGATTGAAGATTTCTCCTATTATTTCCAAATATGTCAATATCATCTTATGAAAGTAGTTTATTTAAACATCGACAATATGCAAGCTCTTTCACAACGAATACATATATTGAAACATTACACGGGGAAAATTATATACGAATAAAATATACGATTATATTGCACGGGATATAAGTCATGACATGTTATAATGCTATATAAACTTGATTATTAAAACTACAGAGTATCGAAAAACGAAATTAATAACAAAACTTTATTCAAAATAATGATTACGGTGGTTTTATAAAGTATTAATTGGTAGGAACAAAGAATAGTCATATGTTTTAAAAAAAAATTAATCCATATTTTTAGGCCAATCTATAATTAGTATTGAATTATACTAGCTGTCTTAGCAGCTGTCTAGAAAAAATATATATATTTTATAAGAATAATAATAAAAGTTTTTCACCTTTATGTGTTATGTAATTTGAGATATGAATGGGATTATGCTATTAATTAACTAATTAGCTTTATTACATTTTAACTTTTTACACAATATATAAAATATTATACTTATGTAGTAAAAAATTAGTTACCAATTTAATATTGAAAAAAATTATTTTTACTAGTAATACTATTTACTTACTTGTAATTATGATAAATATCACAGTCAATCCGAACCCTGAGAGCAAAATTCTATAATCATCCTTTAAAATGTTTAAATTACATTAATAAATGCTATTTTTTTAAATTTCAACTCATTCCGAAAATTCGAAGCCCAACAAATTACAAATTTACAATTGAACTATGCTGTTGGATCATAATCCGACCTGCGCAATAATACAGAGAGATAAATCCTTAATGAATGGGATCGTTTATATAAACAATGAATGCCAGTTTGCTCCAGACAGCCAAATACAGATCACGTCAAAAGGGGTCCCACCCCTTCACTCCCATAAAACCCCAACGAACCACAAACAATTTTATCCTCCCTCAAATGCGTGGTTTGCCTTGCCCCTCGGTTTTACATGCAGCCAAAATCAGATTTAGGAACATGGATATCATCTCCGAAAACAAAATCAATAAATATAAGCTCAATATCTTAGAATTTTGGTTTGTTGTATTTCATACTATTTGATTTTAAGTTCTGACCAAAAATTAATTCACTTATTAGCAAAGGAATAACCTGAGATGTAATAAACGAATTTTCGATAGAGAAAAATAAGTCTAAAATAGGAGAATTCCAGAAGCAATTCACATAACGAAAAATATAAAATAAATTGTGAATTTCGAAACAGGTACTAATAATCTTAATATCTACTAAGCGGATTAATACTAGTAAACTAAAAATATCATAAATAAACACATATTACCTATAAACAGCAACTATTATTAAGTCTACTTTGGGAGTAACTAAATAGGAGAGGGGATAGCTCAGGCTGAGAAAAAAATATGTTATATATTTTTAAAAATATTGTACGTTATTTCTTTTTTGCTTTGCTTTGCCCGGATTTTTAGCTCATTATATGAAAATTGTATTCTTTGTTTGTGTATTATAAGAAAAAAGATTGCTGAGGGTATTTAATGGGTTATAATGTATCAGAGAGAGAGAGAAACACTTTATTTTCATAAAAATCTAAAATAAATATAAATTACAAAAACCAAAAGACACTTCCAGTAGAGTAGGCCAAGTAAATTTTTGTAATGAAAAAAAGAGGTTATATTAGTTATTAGTAGAGACCGGATTTTCGTGCAGTAAAAGTTCCGAAAACATCTAGTAAAAAATTCAAAATGTGCAAAATCGTGCAGTATTATCAAATAATGCAGTAAATTGAAGGTTTGAAGAAATAAACGAAAGCAGAGATTATAGGCACGTATATATTATATAGACCAGACCAACTTTACAGATTTAACTTTTATTAAAAATAACACTGAAAACTTTATTTTTTAACAGAAATAAAATCAAAAAAACACTTTTACTAAAATTTAAAGAATTAAAAAAACGAAATATTAGTGCTTAAGCTATTTTCTATATCACTAAAAAAAATATTTTGGGGGTTACGTTTCCTCTTAAAAAACAAAAAAAAAACATTTAATTCTTTAATAGGAATATTTATTTCTTACATGTTCCACATTGAGCGTCTATTAGTGATTTCCTATGATGTGATAGAATTTTCTCTAGGAGTGTAGAACTTTCTCATCAAATTCTTTGTCCTCACATTTCAAATAGCGGTATATTTATATCCAGATTTTAATTTTTGACGAGAGACTAGATTTTACTTTCAGCATTGTCATTTTTTTTTTTTTTTTTTTTTATAAGAATGAAATGTCTACAAAGCAATTCAAAGCCAAAAGAGGTACTTAAAGCCAAAATAATAACTATAAATGCCTTACTAACAAAGCAGCTTTTTATTATCCAATACTTGTGGCAAGTTCTATTCCAAAAATAGATCTCACTTGTGTTTATTTCATCCTTTTGTAATGAATACGATTTTCGCTTCACTCAGAACTATCTGCCTTCCTCAATTTTTTTCTATTTTGAATAATGAATTTAATTTGAACAATATAGTTAAATAAATAATAACACACTCACTTATACATTT